CAGATTTAAACATATTACAAACACAGATTACAAAAACAGATTTAAACAGATTACAAAAACAGATTTAAACAGATTACAAAAATAGATTTAAATAGATTAGCAGCAGCAGCGAATATTTACCTCCATTTAAGCAAAATTTTCCCAACTTTCAAAGCTCAGTAGCAGCAACGATGCTAAACAACTGTGAATGAAATCAAAAAAAGGGTAGCAGCCAACTGTCAAAACAGATTTTCCTATGCATACAACTCCCTAAACATATATCTTATCCAAAAATCAGATTACAAATAGATTTTCCTATCCAAAGTCAGATTACAAACAGATTATACACACAGTACAGATTATAAAAACAGATTATAAAAACATATTACAAAAACAGATTATAAAAACAGATTACAAAAACAGATTACAAAACCAGATTTAAACATATTACAAACACAGATTACAAAAACAGATTTAAACAGATTACAAAAATAGATTTAAATAGATTAGCAGCAGCAGCGAATATTTACCTCCATTTAAGCAAAATTTTCCCAACTTTCAAAGCTCAGTAGCAGCAACGATGCTAAACAACTGTGAATGAAATCAAAAAAAGGGTAGCAGCCAACTGTCAAAACAGATTTTCCTATGCATACAACTCCCTAAACATATATCTTATCCAAAAATCAGATTACAAATAGATTTTCCTATCCAAAGTCAGATTACAAACAGATTATACACACAGTACAGATTATAAAAACAGATTATAAAAACATATTACAAAAACAGATTATAAAAACAGATTACAAAAACAGATTACAAAACCAGATTTAAACATATTACAAACACAGATTACAAAAACAGATTTAAACAGATTACAAAAATAGATTTAAATAGATTAGCAGCAGCAGCGAATATTTACCTCCATTTAAGCAAAATTTTCCCAACTTTCAAAGCTCAGTAGCAGCAACGATGCTAAACAACTGTGAATGAAATCAAAAAAAGGGTAGCAGCCAACTGTCAAAACAGATTTTCCTATGCATACAACTCCCTAATTTCATAAAACAAAAATTAATTGGTAGCAGCCCTAATTAGAACAATTTAACAGAAGAACCTAAATGCTAGCAGCCCTAATTTGTATAATGCATGATACTTACAGTTCATAATTTCTTTGTCAATTTCAAATAATCATCACAACACAGCATAACCTAATTGGTGGCAGCCCTAAATCGACAACCCTAAAGGCTAAAACCTTAACAGAAAAAATATATCATCACATCAACCTCAACCACCAAATCGACAAGCCTAATTTAAAAGAAAAAAAACCATATATTTAATTTAGAATAAACCCTAAATTCAAAGGAAGATGATGCTAGAATAAACCATAAATTTAATCACCTTTGACTGATATGAGAGAGAAACCCACAGAAGAAATCGCAGGAGAGGAAGGAATAGATGTCGATTTGGTGCCCTGCCGCTGGGAAAAAATAGAAAAATCGAGATAAGAAGAGAGAGTTAGCGGAGCAAAGAAGCGACTGAGAAAAAATGTAACAGATAAGAGAAATAGAAGCTGACCTGCCGCTGCGTGCAGGGCTGAAGGCGGCGCGGTCGAGAGAGAGAGAGAGCTGAGGCGGGTCGAGCTCGAGAGAGAGAGAGAGCTGAGGCTGAGGCAGGTGGAGAGAGAGAGCTGAGGCGGGTCGAGCTCGAGAGAGAGAGAGATCTGAGGCTGGTCGCCTGGTCGAGCTCGAGAGAGAGAGAGGTGAGGTGAGGCGCCGCTTGGTCTTAGCTTAGGTCAAAAACGAAAAGAAAAAACGAAGAGAAGACTCAGACTGAGTGAGAGAGAGAGAGAGACTAGCGTGTGTGTGACTTAGGTGCAAAAAAAAAAAAATTGCGTAAGGGATCTGGTGCAAGCACTCTCACACTTTCTCTGTTTTTGGCCAATCACACGAGGCCACGTGTAAATTATATATATATTTAAATATTACCGGTTCGGTTCAGGTCCACCGGTTCTGAAAAAATTAGAACCGCGAGCCGAACCGTGGACCTTCGGTTCGGTTCAGGTCCAGGTTTGACTTTTTCGGTTTGGTCAAAAAACGCTCTTTTTCGGTTTGGGTTGGGTTGGTTCGGTCGGTTTGATCGGTTTATCGGTTTTTATGCCCACCCCTAATTTTAATTATTCAAGGTTTGAGATTTTTCTAATTTATATTTTATGTTTTTCGTTTTAAATTTGTGGTTTTCAACTTTTTAATTTCTGTTTTGATTATTAATTTGCAGACAAGGTGAGGATTTCATATTAGAATACGCTCCCCCCAATTTTTTCGTGTCGCATTAGTTTCTTCTTCCCCAGATTTCACTCTCTCTCTCTCTCTCTCTCTCTCTCTCTCACTCTCTAACCCAAAACCCTCTCTAGCTCTATCTGACTCCAAATCCCTCCGATTCTGTCTAACTCGAAACCCTTTATCATTCTTTCTCATCTAGAAATCCTCTTGGTTCCCAGACCCTCTCACGACTGCAATCTCAAGGTAACCCTAACTCTCTCTATCACTCTTTTATTTTCCAGATTTTATCAAAAGGTTCTTTCAATTTAGCTTTGCGGAACCTCACGGCTGCACTCTCAAGTTGGTTTTACTAAATTTTATGGAACCTCACTGGGTATGAAAAGCTCCAAATTTTTTCAATTATTTCAATTAATGTGCTAGCAGATATTACAAAGTTTCAAATTCTTTCAAAAGTTTAATTTAGATTTAGATTTTTATTATTTAAATTTTGCAGAATCTAATGGTGCTTTGGTTTGTTTTTAGAAGAGGTGCCATGTGATTGGTTGAAGTTGTAGAAAAAGCTGGGTGAGAGGACGGTGGGAGAGAAGTAAAAGTCAGCTCCTTATACACTTTTTTTTATTTGCTTGAATTTTAATTTTGTTTTATTTATTTTTCTGCCTAGTTCTATTTGTATTTTTCGAACCAGACTTGAGACCTCCTGTTGGGTTCTCTAATCTCAGCCACCCACTTCACCCATTTTCTAATTTTGTTTTATTTATTTTTCTGCTTAGTTCTATTTGTATTTTTCGAACCAGACTTGAGACCTCCTGTTGGGTTCTCTAATCTCAGCCACCCACTTCACCCATTTTCTCCAATTAAAGCTTCTTTGGTACATGTAAGTATACTTAATTTCCACTTGCATTTAGGCCGAAGTTGTTAAGTTTCAGTTTTTTCAGAAAATGTGACTACACACGCATGTTGACTGTTAATTTTGCACAGGTTGTGGGTTAGTTTTGAGGTATAATTACATGGTTTTAAACTATACATATCCAGGATTGTAATTTGGTTGAAGTTTGATACCTGAGTTTGGTAAGTATGACTACAAAATCTGTCAAAAACAGGGGCTGCACTTTCAGGTTTGAAACACTTACTTTGGACTGCCTTATCTTAAAAATTAGAGCACCATTTCTGTCAAATTTTATATGGTTTCAAAGTTTATTTAATCAACTTCAGGATGCATGTAAATTGGTAGATTTTTATGGAGTTTAAGGTGTTTAATTCTGAGTTCAAAGTTTAATACACAGTAGCTGAAATTGTGTTAGTTTCATAGATGGTGGAGCAACAACAGTTTCCTAAAAGCTCATGTCAAGACATAAGTTGGTGGTTCAATTGATGAATGTCAAGGATCTTAGCATAGCTCACGTCAAGAGCCATCTTCAAGTAATTAATTTGATCTAGATTTCATGATCTTAGCATAGTAAAATTCAATACCGTGATCGGAAATATATAAATCCATCAGATTCATATATCTGATTTATGTTCTTTTTTCCTGGCTTTGATTAAATGTATAGGAGCAAGAAGATGGAAGACTCCAATCAAGGTAAACTTCATTTTTACACACAACTACCTACTTTTTCATAATACCAGAAACATTAACATATCATATCATCTCTGTTTTTTGTTATTAATTTAATAACAGCACTTACAGTGTCAATTTTGCAGTCAGAATATGATGACTTGTCTATTTTGATAGGATCATCGCTTGCTGTTTCTTTCATTGTTTCTGAGATTTATCGAGTAAAGGATTTTTTGTTTGTTTGTTTATTTGTTTATGTAGCTGTTGTCGCATGGAAGGGACGCCAATGGTGATCGAAGGTTTATAAAGAGCCATCCATGTATGATAAATTTTTAATGACACTAGGATCTAGTAAATATGTAATAATTTTAAATGTATTCATACATTTAATTATATGGTTGTATTTTAAATTATTCTATATAGATACTGTTTTAGTGGATGTACAATTTCTAATTTGTTTTCAATTATTTCTTTTAATTTAATAAACCTTGACAGCTTTTATTGTCAAGAAGCGCTTTTTTTTATATATATTAGTTTTTGGTTCTTGACGGCTAAAATCTGTCAAGTAAGCTCAATTAAACGTCAAGAAACACATTAGTTGACAGTTAGAAAGAGTAAAGGATGACCATAAGTTGACGCATTTTCCCATTTTGTGACGGTTTTTATCTGTCAGGGAACACCATTAATTGACGTGTAAAAACCGTCAAGTATGTGGGTACCCCTTTAGTGACACTGGTATTCCTGACGCTATTTGAGCCGTCAAAAATCTATTTAGTTGACACTTTTTAACCACCAGTAAAGGCTGTTTTTCTTGTAGTGATAATATGGTGGGAGGAGTCATTTGGTTAGTTTTGAGTGAAATCTGAACTCTAGAACTATGAAATTCACCAACCACTCCGATTTGGAACGAACTGCCTATCAACATAAATTGTCCAATTTCTTACACCTGTTGATTTCGGATCGAGCCCAAAACTAGGGCAACATCGTAATATGGTGGGAGGAGTCATTTGGTTAGTTTTGAGTGAAATCCTATCACTAGAACTATGGAATACACCAACCACTCCGATTAGGAACGAACTGCCTTTGAACATAAATTGTCCAATTTCTTACACCTATTGAATTCGGATCGAGCCCAAAACATGGGCAACAACATAATATGGTGGGAGGAGTCATTTGGTTAAGTTTGAGTGAAATCCG